CTACCGCTGCCACCATGTAATATTTAGGCTTCAAAGCAAGGATTTATTCCGCATACAAGACATACAATTCAAGAAGTGAACAAGATGGTGGATCACCAAAAGCACATGGACCCAAGATGCAACGGGGTCTTATAACTAGAAAACCGGAAGTCTGATGTAATGAACAACTAATCGAACAGTAGTGGAGATCCGCTTTCAAGGAAAATTTGTTTCCTTTTGGAGCCTCCACAGACCAGACATTTAGTAGTCGACAACGTTTTGTTATGGACAACTAAATGTTATCGACAATTAATTGTGTCAGATGCAAGCGTTCCACACATTGGAGTGTTAGTTGTCGATAACTAAGTCAAGTCAAAAGGTGCTTGAGAAATAACGTTCACTACGCATGCTCAAAACACAGTACGCATGCTCAAATTTGTGTCATGTTTCGATAGTTGTTGACAACCAAACCAATGGTTCCCACACACACGAAAAACGCCAAAACCTAGTTCTCGACAACTAAAGCAGTTTCCCTTTTCGAAAAGGGAAACTGCTTATCTCAAACACTACGTTTTTTAATTGTCGATAACATTTAGTAGGCAAGAGCATGTATTTGTCCACAACTAAGTTTGTAGTCCGTGGATGCCCTTATTCTTTTGACTTCGGTTACACCGTAGGTAACAACGGAACTTGAGAGTGCGATTACGAGTATGGCGGAACCGCGCCTTACTTTCAACCTGTTTATACGACAACTTAGTATTACGGCCACGCTGTTTTGATCCGGTCAAAATAAGAAAGGTTGCATACCAATGGTCCACGGATTGAGTTCGATTGAGTTCGATTTTCGAACGTTCGAACGACTTTGCCGGGCATATTGCACTTGCAACAATTTTAAACAAGCAGCGACAGATGTAGGTAGCGGAAACCATCCAGACCAATGAACTTTTAATATAACACAGTTAAACCGCTCCACTCTACTTACAATCCAACCTCGTTCCCAGGATCTCTCATTTTCCCACCCTCTCGGGCAAGAGAGGAGAAGGCGGGAAAATGCGAGGCCCTGGGGATGAGGTTCCTTATAATCCCTCTTACTAACACAAGTTAAAGAGCGCCTCAGAAACTTGTGAAGCAAGGAAAGCTTGGGAGACCAAATAACAAAAGATTACGGCAAAGTCACGAACCTTAGCAACAAACCCTAACATAAACCTAACATCAAATCAAAATCTTCTTCAGCCGCAGATCATTTCCTCTCCTCTCCTAACCACACTGCTAACGACATGTAATTTATCCCCATCGAAAAATTATTTTCAAACCGGAAAGACGGAACACATAGCAGATGACTGACAAATGACTATCTCTCGTTAGTGTTGTCAAAATTGATCATTAACAACAGCAACGATAAAAAAAATGATTTAGGCCAGTGGCTCGGTTTACCTGTTCCTAGCTACGGCACTGAAAAACATCCAATTAAAACAATAAAACTTAACTAACTACTAAAAACGTTGCCCATACAGTCTTGAAAAGGAGCATGCTTCTGCGAATAGAAATGTAAATGAAACGGGAAATTTCGCCCGAATTGAAACCTCGTAGCGTTTGCTACATATCAGATGCATTTTGACCTTGGTTTGGACGATAACAGACTGACATTGATTCAGTAAAGTGAACAAGTGCAGTTCCCAGATTAACTTCTGCATGCATCACCGAGGATATCTGATGACGACATTCGGGAACAGATTGTAAGGACAAAGAAAACTGGAAATAGAAAACTAAGAAAACTTGAAATTTAGACGAAGGAAGTACAACGAGTCGATTACAAGTATAAAATGATAACAATTCACTTTACCTTCCCTCATTTATTGCTTATGTATAATGTATCAGTCTTACAGGATTACGTTATTTAGGAGTTATTTCATCGTCAATCATAATATTTTCTCGTGAAATGTGGCCCAAACCGTTATTTACCCGAACAATTAATCGTTAAGCGAGATTATTTTTATCAGTTTGCCGTGACTCTTTTATTTTCCGTGAAACGTGAACTATTCCTCAAGCGACAATTTCAATCTCTCTTAATTATGGAGTTG